ATAACTTCATCTAAAATTCATTTTTGAGTATGTAGCGGTTGTGGCTTTCCAATAAATCAAATAAAACTTATTCCATTTGCAACATTTCTAGAAGGGCATGCAGTCCCTAATTTCGTAGTCCTTTTTTATTTGTTTTATTTTATGATTATATAAATTTTGTGGCTCCATTAATAAGCTGCCGAACAATTTCCTTTTCAAATAATACCACCAAAAGCGAAAATTAAAAATAGAGACATAATAATAAAATCTGCTTCATGTCTCTATCTATAGATCTTCACTTTTAATTTCCCCATTTGTTTTCAATATATAAAGTTTGGCAAGTAAGTTGCTTTTCTAATTTTGAATTTGCATACTTCAATTTTAATGGGGCTAAATATCTTTTAATCAAACGGCATAACTATGACTCTCAAATGAGAGGTCAAATGTTTAAACCTCAGTGGGACATTGACTCTTTGTGCTTCAGTAAGTTAAAAGTATGTATAAACAGATAGTACATCGTAATAGAATCGGTAGTATTAAAAAAAATGGTTTGTTCTGCATAAAAATCTATTTCCCTATCTAGGTTTGGTAGTAATATATTGGTAAACCTAGCAACCAACTACATATATACAGACATTGGATATATTCTAGAAGATAACTGGTGGCGGTTCCTTGACTGTAGAGGCCGGAGTTGGTGATCATTAACTAGGATTTTCTATATCATCATCATTAAACCAACTTTAAACTAATCGAATAACCATTTATTTATTAAACCCGGTTTGATAGGCTTTCAAAGGAGAGTTTCATAGTCATTCGCCGGATTAAATTAACTAATAACTAACCAAGTTTTAATGTTGTTAACGCAATGTTATAAATTATTAATTTTCGCCATCTAACAATTCCAATGTCTCGTCTTCCTGCAGTAAATTAACATTATGATTTCATCCCACCAAAAGAATGTATGGATATGACTTTATTGTGAATACTAGTACACAAATATATTTGGGGCCTATAATCTCTTTAAAATATATATATATATATATATATATATATATATATATATTTGGGGTCTATAGTATATCAGTTGAGACACATTCGTAGAGAGTAACAATGAATTGGGTTATAAAAACGAGTATCTTATCGGATTAAACCGTTGTAAGGCAGGTTTAATTATGTAATATATGAGTTTGGGACGGATTCGAATATTATATATATAATTCAGTTCGGATTTGAGTTCTTAAGGTTAATATGAGATGGGTTTAGATACATTTAAAAAAAAAAAAAAAAAAATCGGACTCGAGTTCTTAAGTCTAATTTGAGATGGGTTTATTAGGTACATTTTTTTGTTAAATCACGTAGTATCCTGACTAATCTTGTACCATACTCAAACTAATCTTCATTCGCACCAAGTGTGTCCAATTAAAGGCCTCTAGGCCAACTTTTTCTCCAAATTCATTTTTCCACATTGATAAGATACCGATTATTACCATTTGTAAATAAATAAATAAAAAGAGTTAATTTCATTTTTTTGTTCTAGATTTATAGGTGACAGCACACTTTTAGTCATTTTTTATTATAACATCCTCATTTGGTCCTAATATTATTGTGACATAACCATTATTAGTCCTCCATCAACAAAATTGTTGAATATAAAGTAGGTTGAACCGCTATATTTTTTATGTTTATTTTTTAAAAAAATCATAATTAAAGACCGAAATGCTCTTACATTTAACGATATGTAAAATGTTTTAATTTGTTGATAAATGACAAAAAATAGTTATGCCACAATAATATTACGATCAAAATTGAATGTTTTGATAAGAAATGACTTAATGTGGACTATCACATATAAATCTATGACAAAAAAAATAGAATTAATTCAAAAAAATAAAATAAAATTAAGAATCAACCTAAAATAATTGATAGGCTATCAAAACTATGGCACGTTAATGGATACATCACCATATGGGTATTGGCCAACTTGTTTATCATTGCACATAAATATGCAAATAATATATATTTTATAGGATAATGTACGAAAGCTTGTTAAGAAATGGCAATGGAAGACAGAAAAAGCCCAAACATACTAATTTCCATTGTTTGTATTACAGTTTGATAGATTTAATGAAATGATTATAGTACGTAGTAGTGCAACAGTACGTGTTCAAACAAATTATTGGGTCTACCTAATTACGGTAATAAGTACTATACCAGGGCGTGAGAATCAATAGTTTTTTTTTTCTTTTTTTTTTTTTTTTTTTTTTTTGGATTTGGGGTCTAAGCACAATTTAATTAGTTAATTAACACAAAATAAATTCATACGTTTTACTTTAAAAAGAAGTATGAATTTAATCTTGTTGTTGTGTGCACTAAATTTAAGAATTTGTAGACCAGTTGAGATAAATCAGCGATTTATCTTATTCATTTGTTTTCATAGCTCGGTGAAGAGCTTTTAAATTTGAGGTTCAAATTAAACTTATATATATATATATATATATATATATATATATATATATAAAATATTATTTTAAGGGGAAATTGAAGAGGTTATGACTTATGAACGTGCAGAGAGGATATATAGGAAAGCGTCACGGCCTTTGTAGGAGGAGAGACGGCCAGGTGAACTCTTACATGACCTGCTGTTCACAGTTGTATATATGCAATAAAAATCTTTTTTTTTTCTTTGTTTAAACAAAAATATTAATTGTACTTTGAAAAGTACTTCAAAAATTAAATCCCTATTTTTCATAAATACAACTTTCTTAATTTCTACCGTACAGATTTAATTTAACAATATTTATGCACTCTCGCGTATGAGGTCGAGATCAAGGCTCCTACCAACATGAAAGCGTCTAAAACATCCGGCCTACTTGTTGGAACCAGCGACAAGGACACAAGTGCGACCGAGGACCATGGAAGAGGTCAACGGCTCAGGCTGAAAAGGAGACATGGCCAAAAACTCTCCCCCTCGATTCCTCGAACATAATCAATAATTAATGATAATGCAAATTTCGACATTAATATTAATAAAAGTTTGATCGCAATATAAAAGATGCAATAATAATATTATGTAGTATCAAATTGATATAACATGTAGCACGTAGGCCATTATGTAACTCGATGGAAGTTTTGACTTGGTTTTAAATTTTAATATAATCCCTGGCCTGTCCGGCCGTTAGGTTGTTGCTGTTCCTTACTAACGCTATAACGCATGCTTTATTTAATTATGTGTAAATTAACAATATGTGATATTATTCCTTTTTATCTGACCATGAAATTCTTTCAAATAAAATATAGTAAAAATAAATAAATATACACTATTGTCTTTCTTCATATATATGTTCAATTCCTACCCTCCTAGTTAAATAGGTCATTAGTATACTCCATCGTAATATTCTTTTTTGAAAGCAAGTAATATTCTTTTTATAACTCATATTTCTCAATTTTGCCGCATTATATATTGGAGGTTATTAACTCGACATCTATGCTTATAAAGAGATAAATCGAGTTAATCTAGTTAAATTTGAGATTTAACACCAAATTGTACACTTTTACGTATACACACTGTTCAAACTTAAATCCTCTAATGTTCGTGGCAACTGTCATAATATTTAACAAATGATAACATAGTGTTGTTTTGTAACATAATGCATCAAGAGAAATATAAGAAAGAAAGTAGGTCAAAGTGTCCCATGGGATAACTCAATGATGTAAAGTTTAGAGTGAAATAAGTCTCGATAGTATATATGTATTAAGAATCATAAGATGAGGGTTCAATTATGATTTTCATTAGTTACAGGGTGAGAGTTTGTTAGTTATAGAGTCAAGATTCAATTACTATTGATAATACGATTTGGAGTTGGATCCCTTGTGAATATCAGTGTAGTTAGCCGGACACTAAAAACTCTAGGTGTCTACCTGTGTATATGACATAAAATACTGTAAAGAGTAGAACAAGATTTTCGTATCTAAGGTCACAAGTTCAATTATTGTCAACACTATTTTAGTCAAATCCGAATACCCTCTGGCCAACACCTTGCACAAAATCTTTATAGTGTGAAATTTACCCCGTGCATACATTCATATAATGAGTACACATTTCTGTCATCACCTACAAAAACAAAACAAACAAACAAACAAAAAAAAAAAAAAAAAAAAAAAAAAAAAAAAACTACATTTTGTGTTTGTTATTTTATTTCCAAATTGATAAAAAGCAACAAATTTCATTTCACTCGTCGAAGTCTAGAACATTGTACTACCACCATCCTTAATTCCTTAGACTTCAAGTTTATCACACTAGTACAATAAACAAGTACATAAACAACATTATTATTAATTTATTATTATTATTATTATTACTAATAACATAAATTCGTGCAAAATATATTACTTTAATGAGATCATTGTTATTTTCCATAAAGAATATATCATGTCTGAATATCAGCACATCTTTAAAAAGTGCAGATAATCTAAATATTTGCAACAAGGCAAAATAAATATATTTTCTCTTGATTTGCTTTTCCAACCATTATTATTATTTACAAAAAAAAAAAAAAAAAAAACACAAGGATTTTATCCTTAATTGTCATTATGAGATGTTACCGCTGATATATAGTAGGAACATATAGTACAATGATGGTTTACCGGCTAGGATCGAAAGGAGAAATATAAAAAAAGTACAAGAGGCGAATCCGTTTATATAGGCAAGGCGATGAATATATGAATATTCTTGGAACCAAACCTCAACTACTACTAATACTAGTTTCTTTCTCTGTCTTCTCCTCATAGCTCACATCCCATTAGGCACCAACGACTTTGAACCAAAGGCGTTGAAATCGTGTTCTGGGATCGGTTGAGAGGTGTTTGTTTCAACACCTTCTCCCAACAATGCGTGTGACCTAAGCTGCTAACATTATTGTTCCTCTCTCTCTCTATTCAGCTGGAGAGATTATTTCATTTTTGGGAAAGGATTAAAAAAAGGTTTGCGGTTGAAGGTTAAGTGGTTGCAGTTAGCTAGGAAAATGCAGCTCAAGTCGTTGATGCGGAGCTCGTCGTTTGGGAGTAGTTCGAAGCGATCGAATTACAGCCGGAATTTTGAGCTGCCGGATGATTACACGCCGACGGCGGCGGGGGAGGGTGGTCATGAGTACTTTGGCGGGCCAATGCTGCCGATTTTTTTGGATGATTTGAGGAGGAATAATGATGAGGATTTGGTGGAGGTCACGCTGGAGCTGGATGATAATTCCATTGTTCTGTGTAGCGTTACGCCCACTCCGCCGCATAACAATGGCAACGACGAGGAGGAGGATGCGGCGGTTGTTAGCGGGATTTTCGGGAGGACGTTATCGGCCGCGTCGAAGCTTCACCGGAAATTCTCGTGGCTGAGGTCGCCGTCGACGCGGTCTAGGGCGTCGTCGTCGGACGCGGATGATCTTCACCATCATCATCATCATCAGCAGCAGCAGCAGCAGAGTAATGTGAATCAGACGGCGTTGACGTCGCGGGAAGTGATGAGGTCGAATTTGCAGCTGGTGAGGAGTAAATCGAGCGCTCAGCGCGCTCTCGGAGGGCTCAGATTCATCAGCAAAACCACGGAAGATCCCGCCTCCGTTGAGCTCTGGAAAAAAGTCGAGGCTCGCTTCGATAAATTAGCCGAGGACGGCTTGCTTTCCAGAGAAGATTTCGGCGATTGCATTGGTACTTCAATCTCAAACTCTACACATTTCCTTTAATTTTCCGGCATCATTGCATTTGCATGGCAGTTTAGGTTTAATCCATCTTCGTTTACAAAACTTTTAACTTGTTAGCTCAATCTCCGCTTGCTTTTCCATATTTATGTACAATTTCTACAGGAATGGCTGATTCCAAGGAGTTCGCGGTAGGGGTTTTCGATGCATTGGTGCGACGGAGGCGGCAGAAAACCGCCAAGATAACCAAAGCAGAGCTTCACGACTTTTGGCTGCAGATTTCAGACCAGAGCTTTGACGCTCGTCTTCAGATTTTCTTTGACATGTGGGGACTACCTTCCTTTTCATCTTTCTCTATCTTTTCCATTGTTCCATAACTCCTGGAAATTCGATTGCCCTACCACATAAACATCCATCTCTTCATTTTCATCATTTCCTGTCAAATTTGCTTAACAGATTCATTTCCACTCTACCTTAGATTTTAATTAATAATTTATTCATCACATATTTACTTTTAATCGTATAACCACCATCTTCTATCTTATACAGTTATACTAAATCAAGCATTCAAGCCAATAATAATTATTTTATTTTATTTTTTTGCCAATTACGATTTGAATTTATATTTATTTTTGGTGAGTTTAGGGCTGATAGCAATGGCGATGGAAGGATCACGCGAGACGAAGTGCAGGAGGTTAGTTGGACATGGATTGGCTAGCTTATCATATGGGAAGGAAGTTGAAGATTAGGTCAAACCATATTATATGTGTTTTGGCATAAACAACTGGCGCCATAAATAATGGGCTAAATCTAATCAGTAATCACCCACCACTATATAAAAATTTTGAAAATTGGAGACAAGAAAGAATATTGTTTCTCAATTTTCAATTAAAGAGGAACTATTCAACTCAACTAACACCTATTTTTTCAACAATTTGTAGTCGTTTACTTTCCTTATTTTTTTTCTTTGTTTTCTTTGGGTGACATTTTAACAGCTAATAATGCTGAGTGCTTCCGCGAATAAGCTGTCCAAATTGAAAGAACGTGCAGACGAGTATGCTTCTTTAATAATGGAGGAATTAGACCCTGAAAATCTTGGCTATATTGAGGTATGTATATCATACTTTTTTTTTTTTTTAGTAACAAGAGAAACTCGCAGTCACTATTCGATGATGTGCATTAAATAAATCCCACATTGTGAATTTGTGACCTTAGCCAGCAAATGACCACAATGAGATAAACCAACATTGGTTGTCCATAGCTAACCGGTTCAAACCAAGAAGACCAATTCTTTTATACTTTACTTTAGCAGAAAAGTTAAAAAATAATACTAAAGAAAGTTGATACAAGATACGTGTCTATACTATGCATAATCCCAACTGAAAGAGCATGATTCATCAATCATTGCCTTTAGGAATCAATCATAATGGGAGCAGATGTTGGGAATTTCTTTAAGCAATGGTAAACTGGTAAAATGGTAAAATCATCAGGTTGTAATAAAGCTTCAGAAACCTTCAATGATCCCATCTCCCACTAGGAACATTAACATCTGCTGCAATGAAATCATCTTCGTTAGACTGCAAATAATATAATCAAATATATATAGTTGATTAAGTAAGGTAGAGTAAAGAATTAACTGTAACTGGATGAGACAGGGAAGAAATGCTCATCATCATCTACCCTTCTTTCAGTTATGGCAGTTGGAAACATTACTACTGCAAAGGGACAGATATATGAACTACAGCAGGCCACTGAGCACAGCGAGTGCAGGAAGGAGTCAGAACTTAGGAACACGTAATTCCAAGAATGTATTAAAAAGAGCAAGCTGTGCACTCAGGTGTCTTGTATTAGAGAACTGGCAAAGAGGCTGGATTCTACTGCTATGGTTCATTGCTATGGGTGCGCTTTTCACATGGAAGTTCCTACAGTATAAGCAAAAAGCAGCATTTCATATAATGGGTTACTGCTTGACAACAGCTAAAGGTGCTGCAGAGACACTCAAGTTAAATATGGCTCTCATCCTATTACCAGTTTGTCGAAACATATTGACATGGCTACGATCTACAAAAGCAAGGCTATTCATACCTTTTGATGACAATATTAATTTTCATAAGGTAAGAAGCACTGTGAAACTTCAGTAAATCACCTACTTTCATGGGTTAATCTCCATCATATTAACAAAGTGTTCTGTTTGTTCTACAGATAATAGCCTATGCCATCGCAGTTGGAATCATACTTCATGCAGGAAATCATTTAGCATGTGATTTCCCCCGTCTCATTAACTCATCGCCTGAAAAATTTGCACTTGTAGCATCAGATTTCAATGGAGTAAAGCCTACTTACAAAAGCTTTTTGCTTGGAGTCGAAGGCGTGACTGGTATGTCAATGGTGGTACTTATGACAATCGCCTTCACATTAGCCACAAGGCAATTCAGGAGGAATATTGTAAACCTGCCACCACCTCTGAACCGACTAACAGGCTTTAATGCCTTCTGGTATTCTCACCACCTTTTTGCACTAGTCTATGTACTGCTTCTAGTACATGGAACTTTACTGATCTTGGTCCACAGCTGGCAGTATAAGACGGTAAGCATACCTAAATAATCAATTTACCTGTTTAGCAAATGAATATATTAAGTTCAAGCATGAGATCTAGCACAAAAAGTTAAATATACAACATACTAAATGAATATTCATACATCAACTCTTGCTCATAACAGACATGGATGTACATCTCCATCCCCCTGATCTTATATGTAGCAGAGCGGAGTCTGAGGAAATGCCGAGCGGAACATTATGCAGTTAAAATTTTGAAGGTAATTTACTAGTAATTTACAAGATTGTCTTAATAAGAATAAAATCAATAAATGCTGTCAAAACTTAATACCAAATTAACTTTGGTCATTCTGTGACACCTTGGATCCATAATCAACACATCTACCTTCCACTGTTCAACTATCATGACCAACAAGGACATGGAAGGACCAACATCCAACTATCAATTTGCTACATTCTAGTCAAATATTCCTAAGTTTCATTCCACCAAATTCAAATTGAACAATCTAACTAATCCTGGTTCAATTCGAATCGCCACTTACAAATAATTCCAGCATATTAGCCCACCAAATAAGCATCCTATCCAACACTTCAATTTCCAGTCTGTGTAAATATTGTCATCAGTTAACTGTCTTCTTCATGCCAGCAACAAAAATATTATCCTAGCAAGCATGTCTTGTGGGTGATTTAATGAAAATAAGATATACTCCACGTTAATACGCACACATATCTGTGTTCATATTCTTATGATATTATAATTCTTCCTCATGTCTAAGCAAATATTGGCACGGCATTCTGGAAAAAATAAACAAAAAAAGAAGAAAGAGATCAACAGTTTAGTTTTTGATCCTTACAGGTTTCTGTACTTCCAGGAGATGTCTTCAGTTTGGTTATGGCAAAGCCAAATGGTTTCAAATACAAGAGTGGGCAGTACATATTTTTACAATGCCCAATGATCTCTCCATTTGAATGGTATGCACCCAACTCCCCATTTAGGACAGTTACACATTGCACCTCTAAAACTTAAACCAACACATTTGTTTTCTTTATCAGGCATCCATTTTCAATAACCTCAGCACCAGATGATGACAACCTTAGTGTTCACATCCGTACAGTAGGAGACTGGACACAAGAACTAAAGAAAGTGTATACAGAGGATGTTGGCTCAATATGTGAGATAGGTCGAGCAAAGTTTGGAGAACTTGGGAATGTTGATCAAAGAGGGTAATCTCATTTAAATGATTTCGCACTCAAATTTTCATAGAATTTGCATTATTTAAAAGGGGAGACTCTGAGCAAGGTGACTTATGTGCAGTTTACCCCGATTGCTCGTTGATGGACCATATGGTGCACCAGCACAAGACTATCATAACTACGATGTCTTGCTTCTTGTAGGGCTCGGCATTGGAGCTACACCCTTTATAAGTATCTTAAGAGACCTATTAAACAATTCAAGAACAGAAGATCAAATGGTGCCCTTTTTTGCATTAATGTGGTAATACAAATTATAATGTTGCACTCAAACTTAATATATTCTTTTTCCGTATGATGGCTTAGGATTCAAATACAGAAAACAGTGCATCAGATGATAGCTGGACAAGTTTTGCTTCTTCAAGTATAGCATCATCAACTACGAAGAAGAAAACACAACGGGCCAAAAGGGCACATTTCTATTGGGTAACAAGAGAACCTGGATCCTTTGAGTGGTTCAAAGGAGTGATGAATGAAGTTGCAGAGATGGATCACAAGGTAACAAATGCATAATCCTTAATTGGCTTCCCTTTTTCCTGTGTTGTGCCCAAACATTGTGCATTAAACACGGTAATTCCTTTTAATATGGATGACCTCAAATAAACAGGGCCAGATAGATATGCACAATTATCTAACAAGTGTTTATGAAGAAGGTGATGCAAGGTCAACTCTCATCACCATGGTCCAAGCACTTAACCATGCAAAACATGGTATTGACATCCTCTCCGGTACAAGGGTATGATCCATCAAGTCTCTTAAGTAGAAGTGTTTATATTTAAAAATAAAATATGAAATTCACTGATAGCCATCAAGTATTTTCCTCCAAGATTATAGCAAAAACACCATTTCTTGCAGGTAAGGACACATTTTGCACGCCCAAATTGGACAGAAGTATTCAGCAAAATAGCTTTGAAGCATCCTTATTCTACCATAGGTAATGAAGTTTACACAATCTACATGTGCAAAGTCACGTCTTTCTCTTTACACAATTACCATTTGCAAGTCACATCTTTCTCTATCTATTACTCAAGCTAAGATCTAGCCACAGAAGCGTGACAACATACAGCAAACCCAACATGAAATAGCTAAAATGAAATATACAACAGAAGATGTTAAAGGTCAAATAATATCATCGCAAAAGGGTAGTGCCACAAATACCAACATTCTTTATAAGGATATGTGCATGTTTTCAAGCAAGTATCATTAAGAACAATAGTATAAGATCTGTGATTATAGCAACAAGTCACACAATCTGAAAAATAGAACGGGGCACTTACTTTTCAAGATGACATATATAAAAGAGAGGCAGCATCATCTGACTTGGTATTGCTTTCGGATCATTAGTCTGCATCTCACAACTAGAAACATGCAACGAATGTAAGTCAAGCCAACAAAAATTTATTAATCATTTTTTTTTTTTTGCTTGGTAGGAGTTTTTTATTGCGGGATGCCAGTCTTGGCAAAGGAGTTGAAGAAGCTATCGCAAGAACTGACATACAAGACATCAACACGATTTGAGTTCCACAAGGAATACTTCTGAAGAAAAAATCTTCGGCACTGATGCGTGCATCGAGCACTTTCTTCTCTTGCTTTTTTTTTTTTATTCTGTAAATTCAAATGGTTAAGAGCATACACGTATACGTATATATCATTGAAATATCTCACACCTCACAGGAAATACAAAGTATTTCAAATTCACAGTTCATCATACCCTTATAGCACATGTATAGAACAGAAGAGCTGAATGCGTCAAGAAGGCTAGAGCTGCACAACCTGGCATGAACAGCATCATTGTTCTTGGTATTCAAATAGAACGAAAGTCATTCAGTTATGTAAAATAGTAAGATTGAAGATAACAGCAGTATCGTCCCACTCTTAAGCAGAGTGCCGACTATACTGGACTCCTTTGAATGGTTTTACATAAATGTACCAGAACAAATTAAATCACAAGGCATGTAAAAGAAAAGAAATTTTCAATAAGTTAATCCCCAACTGCTATAGAAGAAATATGTTCTATTCATGCTGAAATGATGACGTTGCAGTGACACAAATGTAACCCAAATTGTCAGCAGTATAAAAAGGAATACTAAATGCTAGTCCAAATGGAAAAAGATTTTAATATCGAAAACGGCTAATCCAGAATTAGCAATACAATTGTTCCAAAGAACAGTTTGAATCCTTAAATTCATCAAAACACTTGTAAATTCTGCAGTGATATGGGAACTGGGAACTGTGAAGTCAATCCTTCTTGATCTGCTTGAGTAGTTTGCAAGCCCAGTTGCGGACACGCTTCTTCAACGTGTAACCAACGAATATTCCGGCAACAAAGCAAACGGCACAAAGCTTTGAGCACGTCCACGCCGATATCATTTGCCTGTACTAAATGATTTTGCAGTTTTACCATAAGCATTTCCGGATAATCACCACAAAGCTCAATAACAATAAAAAATGAAGCAAAAATGGAGCAATCTTAACCTGGGAGGTCGAGTGATCAAGAGCTGAGAGTGATCGGCGGATGAAGAAGCAGAGGCAGAGGAGTTGTGCTTTGATTTTTCAAAAAAAGACGAGATTGCGCTTAAGCTGGCCTTTGGATCCTGTGAAACGGCATCGCGGAATGTTTTTTGTAATCCCTCCATAGATGCAGCGAAGTCTATGGAGAAATTTTGTGATTCGCAGTTGAGGTCTGAAATTCCGAGCTATCCCTTCAGGTTAGGGTTTTAGAATTGCTTTGTGAATTGGAAGGGACGAAGGGTTTTGCCGTTTTCCTGTTTTCATTTCCAGGAAGTGAGTTACCTATAACTACTTACCGTTTTCTGTTTCAAAAAAAAAAAAAAAAAAAAAAAAAAAAAAAAAAAAAACTATCTACCATTTTCTCTTTTGTTAAATTACAAATCCGGTCCCAACTTTTTTATTTTTTCTTCTCAAAAAATAGAATTCAACTCCAAAAGCTCCACATTCTGACCTACTGAATATTTGGGAGAAGGTAATCATAGTAACTCAATGACTCAACAGATTAGGCTAAATGTCGATTCGCAAGAGATATTTGTCTATTTTTTGACGGCACAATTCCTCACTATCGCGTTCAAATTTTAAATATTGATCTCTTCTACAAATACTGGCTACTGAACTAAAGCTAAATCCGCAAATATTGAGACCAAAATTATACGGGCGGTCAAAATTCCAGGTTTAAAAGGCACAATTCTGTTTAATTGAGTTAGACCCTTTTGATAAATTTACATCTAATTATATTTTCACTGTGGACTGTGGTTAAACCAATATATGCCTTACATTATATTCTGGGAAGTTTTTGACCTTACAGTCCAGATATGGGGACAACAAACCTCCACACATGCAAGTAAAGTTGCCTCTTATGCAAAACTGTTATCCCAGTGTAGATTTCTTCCCTCATCAACATCACAAAACCAAAATTGTGAATTGGATTAGAATCTGGGACAGACAGATCTGTCAGAATTCACATTTCACTGCTTTTTTCATCTCTTCATTTCCAGAAATGGCTTCCCTCTCTCTTTCTGCTAAGCTCACTACTCTTCCTTATCTCCTCCACACCCAGTCCCCCAAAACCCCTCTGTCTCACAACCTTAGCATTATCTCCAAATCCTCAGAATCGCAGTTCTATGGCCTCAAACTCCACCGCTCATCCTCCCCTTCACTGCCTTCTTCTTCTTCTTCAACGCCAAGAAGTTTCATTTTTGCAAAGGTGCATTCTTTTTCCTTAAAATTGCTTCTTTTCGCTTGATTTATTAGCTATTTTGGTGGTCTGATGGCGTTTGGTTTCCGGGCTCTTTTTGGGTGTGTTTGGTTTTCAATTCGCAGGTGAACAAAGGCTCTGCGCCGCCGGCGTTTACATTGAAAGATCAAGATGGGAGAAATGTGAGCCTGTCCAAGTTCAAAGGCAAGCCTGTGGTGGTCTATTTCTACCCTGCTGATGAAACTCCTGGCTGCACCAAACAGGTATTGTATTGTATTGTAATCTGCATTTCATCTCTCTAAGTGATAATTTGTGGTCAGAAATTGATTATAGCTTGGAATAATTGGTAGCATTTTCTGTTTTCCATTCTCCTTAGAGTGTGTACTAGGTAAAACCTGAGAATCACAAGGCAGTAATCAGCTTAGATTGCAGATAACTGATTGACTCAAACCAAAAAGGTGAATAGGCTACTCCCACCTGGAGTGGAACTTATAAGTTTGTGGTTACCAAGTAGTTGCACATGAGAAACATTCTTAGGAAATGGTAACATTGTCATGGCTTTAAAGCCTTATTGAAAAGGGGGTGATGAGAATTAGGATTGTCAAGGAAGGCAAGAGTATAAATATTGTTGATCATTGGCTCAAACCAAAAAAACTAATAGACAACTTTGTGTTCTATAAGCGGGCTGCTTGTGCGCAGTAAGCAAAGGTCTAGCCTATGTGTCCATCTGAGTTACCATGATTTACATCCTCCCAGATGCTTTGTCGCCTGTTGGGCCGAGGTGTGGGGCCCTTCGGGTTGGGGATTTAACTTTTTCGGGAACAAGAAAACAAATAGACAGCTCTCGCAATGAGTCAAACTTGAAACCTTGTAATTACCGAATCAACTGTCTTACCAACTTAAGAGATGTGCTTTTGTAAGTCCATATCAATGTAGATACTGCTTAGAACAACTGGACAAGAGAGTGCTGCCTGCTGTAGAATGATAAACTGATTGAGTTAATATCATATCAGCAGGAGGACATTATATTGATCTGAGTAGCAATGAAGTCTTGTATGTAAGTACTGACCAATCTGTTTATATTGATCACACTATCACAGGCCTGTGCCTTCAGGGACTCTTACGAGAAATTCAAGAAAGCAGGAGCTGAAGTTGTCGGGATTAGCGGGGATGATACATCATCCCACAAGGTATTTTATTTCTTCCAACATACTGCACCAGTATCTATATCCATATCCCGGGCCTCGGGGGTCGTTTTTAAAATTTATTTTGGATCGGAGATCAAGCACTAATGTAGCTGCTGCATATATAATGCAGGCCTTTGCCAAGAAATATAGACTTCCATTTACACTGCTAAGTGATGAAGGGGACAAGGTGAGGAAAGAGTGGGGAGTCCCCTCAGATCTTTTTGGTGCATTGCCTGGAAGACAGACCTATGTTCTTGACAAGAATGGAGTCGTCCAACTCATCTATAACAATCAGTTCCAGCCCGAAAAGCATATTGATGAGACTTTGAAGCTCCTTCAAAGTCTTTAATCATACCTCCAAATTCTTTCTTATGTTCTTTCTGTATGAGATAGAATATCTTATCTCTCCCTAATTATGTATGTATCTGCCAACACTAATCAAGTGTTCTTGAGTTCTCGAGATTAGTCTAATACTGCCTTACCGGAAATACTATTCCATAATGAATCTATACTGCAAACTAAACATGCTATTAGTCTCTCATATGATCTGTTTTGGTTCTTAATTTATTGGTGATAAGTTTTTCCTGATGTAGCGGTTTTAATGAACACAGGGTGTTTGGTAAATAGCTGTTAGCTGATAGCTAATTATATGCAAAATGAAGTTTTCAAAAACTTATTGAAAAAACTGTTTTGAGTAGGTTTTTGCATTTTAGGGTTTTGGAACAATAAGCTATTACAAAAAAGACTAATTAATTATACACTTATATTGAATGTTTAACCAAGTCAAACAGCTAATAATGGTCAAATAAGCTAACATATTATCAAAAAGTATCCCAATAACATAAGGGTTGAGTATGCTAAAATCGTCAATTTTCCATGTAAATGATGATTATATTCAGATTCTTGAACATGTTTTGGGGCCTTTTGGACAAATCCTCCAACCTTACGCTATTTGGGCTGGGCTGCTCTAGTCTGGGCCGACATAAACAGATCCATGACAAGCATCATAGCCCAATAGCCACTATAACGGTCCCACGTTTCCACATTTAACGAGACAAGCAATCAGAGAGTTGCACGTGTCACCAAGTTAACAGGCGAAATCCCCGGGTATATGTAGTAGAGGAATTTAGGATCTACCTTGGATGTTTTAGTATCTTCCATGCTGGATTCCCGGCATCTCTGTCAGATGCTTTTCCCCATTTCCAATCCCACGGCTCAGATTTCGTCTCTCCCACTCACACCCTTTCAGTATATAATGGGGAGCCAGAGAAACCCGATAGCCACTCTCCGGGGAAGATAAATAATGAATACGTTAGATTCTCCGGTTGAAGCTCTAGCTTTCAACTATCTCAGATTCGATAAATTATGGACGTGGTGGGTATCTGTCCTCGCCGCCGCCGCCGGCTTTTGGAGGATCAAAGTCCCTTCTTTATCTCCGCCGTCAAAACCAAGCTCGGAGCCATGCCAAGCAGCCGCCGCGAGGAGGCCAGCTTCCAGTGAGCCGCCGTCAACGGCTCCTAGAACTACTGTAACGCCGTTTTCCGCGTCGGAAGGAGTAGATGGCTCGACGAAGGGGAAGTTCGCCGCGTATTTTGACTGCGATGATGAGCTGGCCGGCGGTAACGACGCTGAGAGTAACGGTAACGGCGGCGGTGGGGGTGAAGTGTTGGTGAAGGACTGGTACGGGTGTTGGGAGAGGGTAATGGAAACGAGAATGGGAGAAATGGGGTGGTACCGTTACCAGGATATAACGGTGATTGACGGTAACGTCGTTAGGTTATGGGAAGGTGGTGGTAGACGGAGGAGCACCGCCGCAGTGGTGGGTGTAGCTTGCGTTGTCACTACATGGCAGTCAAGCATCGGACGCCATTATTAGGAATGTTTAAATGACGACTTTAGCTGGTATTATCAATATAAAAAAAAAAAATGTAGAAACTTTGGGCTATATCTTGTACACATTTTTTTTTTTAAATGATTAAATCAGAAGAAAAACAGTCCACGAGATGATGAGACGGGCCTCCCAAACAACAATGTGAAAAATAGGATTCGCAGATCGCTTAACAATAAGAATGGACATAACTCGAGCTACAGTAGTGAAGATGCTGAATATATGCAACAAAATGTATTATGGTTACATAACAGACAAATGTTGATATCAATAACTTTCAAAATCATTTTCAATTCCGGCCTATACAATTTATTATTACGCCAAAATATATGTTCTATCTTGGAACATTATAAATAAGTATCATAATTACTTTTGCTAGGTAGTAGCTTATGATCAACTAACACCATAAATTTAATCTCAATATTTAAGATATATATACCAAAAAATGGTAATCAATCTTTATCAATTAATGCATATATCAAATATATGTTATCATCAATCAAATATCTTGTGATCGAATAATATAATTGTGGCTAAATGAAAAGTCACAAGTTCGAATTTCAGTGTCACGTACGTTTCCTCATGCATTCTTAAATGATTTTGTGTGGCAATGTAAAACGATGTCCAATTCTCTTAGGTGTAATTTTGAATCTAAATCCATTTCAATTGCTGTCGGCGTGAGAGAAGAATACAAAGTTAACTATAAATAAAGCATGGGAGTTTTCAATAACATATGAAAAAGGGAAAAAAACAAAGATCATAGATGCATCAATCCATTCATTAATTAATGCTAATTGTAATGTTTAAGGGACCACGGGATGGGAACGTTGTAGTGATGTTTTAGATCCTTAATGGTCACACAAGCTAAGCGGAAGGGCACGTTACCCTCTTCCCTTCCACCAACTCCGATATATTATTCGTCTAGAGTATTTTTCGTGTGTTATTTTTAAGTTGTTATTGTCACATTATATGCTTTGTCAGATGGAACGTATAATATGACATGACAATAATGATATTACATTATATACATAATCTGCTAATAACAATTTAAAAACAACGTATAATAGAGTGTTAACGAAAATTACTCTACCCGCCATTACAACACATGCATGCATGCCAGAGTTCTAAAAAAAAAAATCATGAATTAATTTGTTATGGAAAACTATCCAAGAGATCGAGTTGAGCATGAGGGAGAGATCTAAAAATTATATTTTCAAAAAAAAATTCAAAAGACTTTATTTTTTCTCGCAAAAATAAGTCATATTTTCAATTCCTTTGTATATATAGAAGGCGTATTTTTCGTTAATTTCATTTTCTTTTGAAAACCCAAGAAACTCAAAAAATGACTTCCAGAAATCATTTTCTAAATTAGACATATATAGCCTAATTTGAAGAATAAGGTTGGGAGCCGAAACAGATGCCCAGCTAAGTGAGTGGGCATGATTCTAATACTATAAGGTGAATTCACTACATAAGGTCTTTCTTATATGATTAACATACTAGTACACAGAAATAGAATTTATATAGTATATACTTTCAAATAGTGATTGTGAACTTTTCTCGTCATCTAAGAAAAATGTTGCAGAATGAAAATTCGATCCTTTACTTATACTTCGGTTGGATATTCTAAATGAAGGTATACCATGTAAATATTTTGTATTTTTAATATTGCGTTGTGGACCCAAAATTTTAGAAATATAACAAAATTGGTAGAACTCATTTAATGATGTAGGTATAATGCGTCTGATTTTTTATTTTTTTTTCATGCTAAATTTTCAATTGTTGTTTTCGAACCAAAGAAATATCGTTTGGGCAGGACAGCTCATCGTTGTTTGTTTTTGAATTTTGAGTCCAAAATTTTGTGGGGAATTAATTAATGTTGTGCTGCCCCATTTTATCTACCTTAAAACCAGCATTATATTACATCTCTGAATAAAGTGATTAAGTATGTGAAACATAATTCTCGTATCAAAATATCACAAGTTTGATTCTTATAATTATTTTATCTATCAAGTTCGAAACACAAGATTCTTTTAGTGCAGTTTACTTTATGTGTCGGATAATAAATTTTTCAAGTGTGATTTATCTCTCTTGTTTGATCAAAAGCAAGATTTACCCAATGTGTCGGGTAGTAACTTGACCTTCTTAATTGTCAACATTAAATTAAAGACATTTATATTCTAGCTACCTTTCTTTAAGTTGATCAATATACAATCCTTAACATATACTACCCTCATTGTAATTAACATAATTAATTAAGTACATATATAGTTGAAGTAAGATCGTTTTCACTAATGTTGAAAATACAAGAAAAAGGGTCCTAGCAGCACTTATAGTATAGGGACATCTTATTTTATTTGTGCTGCTAATAGTTGACTATAGGGACAACTATTGTTTTTTTAATTAGCTATATTGACACGTTAGGTGGTAGTACATACAACATTGTCCAATATAATGTACATAAAATATGTGGTAAAATATATCGGGTGAGTTTATTATCCGGATAATTGTTAGCATTATTGTCTATATTATTATTTTGACAAAAAACTAGTCAAAATAGGAATCAAGAATCCAACTGCTAAAAATAAATTTCAAACCCTCCTATCATTTGTATTGTTTTATCACATGAAATGAACTAAGTCTTTGTTTCTAAAAAAAAAAATGGTCCATACTACTACTTATTATTATTATATTACAATTAATTATTTAAAAAAAAAATGAGTCACTTTTTAGAAATTGTTCTCTGGACAATTTTTTTTAGTTTCTAAATGGATCGGACCTAAGGAAAAGTTCGGGATCCAACATCCTCCAATACATTGATTGAGTGTTGCAATGTTGCCTTCTAATAGTGTATCTTATCAGTTTAGGGTTGGGACTGAAAAATTTTCAACAAATTCTCTATTTTTTAAAATAAGAAATTAAAAATAGGCGTGTTTTTACCTGTATATATATATATATATATATATATATATATATATATATATATTCTCCAATTGAAAAATATAAAAATTAAAAATTAAAAATTAAAACGCAGGCATATATAAGATATTTTGGATGACAGAGTACATTATTAATGGTGGAGAAGAGGGGGCCATGGCAGCACCTGCAACTCTGCAAGGATGCACATGCCATGCCTTGAAGCACTAGTCACCATTATTTTTGCTTACTCATAAATTTTACTTTAATTTCACCAACAAGTTTAATGGGGTTTGCAAACTGAAATAATGTGAAATTAAAGTTGGTTGTGGCTGGCAAGGCAAGCTAAGATAAGTTTTAATTTGCCAATTATATCGATCGATCTTGTAATTAATCTAGTGGCACGAAGTGATTCTCTCAAATAAAAAAGTTAAATGTCCAATTTTTAATAAGAACAACATTGACTCTTTATACTTTAATAAGTTGAAAAAATAATTATGAACATAACTTAATAGAATCGGTAATACCCAAAAAGATAAGCTTTAGTTTGGAATATCATCACTATTATATTCCACAAGAGCTCAGAAGGTCAGGAATTTCTACAATAATTCAACAAAATGGGACCGTACCCTCACTGCCACCCTCTGAGTATTTTAATTTTATTTATTTATTTTGATTGGAAAAAAAATGCTGCGTATCATGAAACATATATATATATATATATATATATATATATATATATATATATATATATATATCTTCAATTATACGTCCTATGATGGTGAGCATAATGTAAAAATGCTGTTGCCCATTCACAATATAATGTTTGGTGGGGATTTAGTTGTGTATTGACCAAAAGATATGATGCAAATCAAAGCCACTGTTAGATAGTGAAACCACAGACATGCTTGCCTAATAATCTGCCTAACTTCCTTATTCTAACAATTTTTTTTTTTTTAAATACTAATATATATATCTACCAAAGATTATATTATAGGTAAATCATAACTTTTTTTTTTTTCAATAACTCAAATTTTTTAACTTCACCAAATTATATTTAGACTCCAAAAGCTTACACTCAAATTTTTTGTTTAATTAACATGGAACCAATGTACACATACATGTGTGTGATGTGTCTTAGAACCCCTAAAATGTGAGGTATTCAGGGATGAAATCAGTCTAAATTAATAATTGCTACTAATATATATATATATATATATAAAGAGCGCTCGTATGTGGTCATGTCATTAGGTGTGGCGGTGTGGTCGTATCTGTGTCGTTGAATCAGTTTAATCTAAAGACAGTGGTAATTCTGAGGATTTTTGCACGTTTTGGTAAGTGAGAGTGTTATGGTAATTACAGTGACCATTTATAGCGAGTGAGTTTCATAATACACCAACAGTGTAATAAAACACACAATAATGTGATTTTCCCTATTCCGATGCTTTATGATTACACCTAACAACACCTCTATGACTAGTTAAGCTACCCATGCTGCCGCTGGTGAGAATTGAACTTTTTATTTTTGAAAATGGTTAGAATTGAAATTTCCTGTCACTTATGATTTACTCATCAAGTCATCATTCATAATTTACTCATCCACGTACCATCTTATCAGTCTGGCGTATCAATTAGCATGCATTTATATATGGATAGAATTAATTAGGATGGAGGGATTGGCTAGGGGTGGTGCCAGCAGGCCATCACGTACCTGCGGTGCATTTACTTACATACCCACCCTTTGAATTATCCTCTGCTTCACTTTCCAAGTTTCCATCAATAATATTTGTCTTCTGCTAAGATATTATATATTACTCCCTCCCCAACAAACTTCATTATATATGCATCGCAATCATATATAGCTCCGTTGATAGCTATACAACATTGTCATATCATTTTCCTAATCCCACACGTAATTAACACCTTAACTATGATGTTTTAATCACTGTATGTGGATTATACATATACTGTTGCATATATATGTTTCATACCTTAAGTAGTGTTGGACAGAACAGAACAGAATTGTTGAGCATATAACCATTAATGTGCAATCCAATTATCAGTTTAAACTTTTAGTTGAGATGAAACACATGCTTCAATTTGGTATCAGAGACCGAAAATTTTACCAGACCCCTAAATCCTGTTATCTTTACTTTTTGCCATTATTTTCTAACATATACTATAATATAAATATATTGAGGACGGGTAGATCGCCATAATATTAATACTCGACAATATTCACCAAACCTCTATAAAAGAGGTCAGCAGCTAACTGCCCTTTTTATTTCTCTTTTTTGTCTCTCACTCTTTCTTGCTCTCCTATTAGCTATCACTCTCATTATCGGTTTTAGCAGAAATCTTTGGTCGGAAAGGCATATTTGAAGGCTCAGAGTGATGGGTTTAAGTTTAAGGTTTTGTCTCCTTGTTCAAGCCCTGGTCTTGTGCTGCACATTAGTCGCCGGAGAAAGACGGCCGCGCCACGTTTCGACGTCGTCGCCGGCGGGGGATCTGGTCCGGAAGTCGTGCGTGAACGCCAGCTTCCCGGGCATCTGCTACCGGACCCTGTCGGAGTACTCCGGCGGCGCTATGAGGACGCCGCGGGACCTGGCGCAGGCGGCGGTGGGCGTGAGCCTCCACCGCGCGGGGAAGACGTCGGTGTTCCTGCGGCGGCTGAAGGCCCGGAGCCGGCGGGAGAAGGCGGCGGTGAGCGACTGCGTGGAGCAAATGGGGGACACGGTGGACGAGCTGAGCCGCAGCGTGGCGGAGCTGAAACACCTCCGGCGAGGGATCGCATTCGAGTGGCAGATGAGCAACGTGGAGACGTGGGTCAGCGCGGCGTTGACCAACGAGGACACGTGCCTCGACGGGTTTAAGGAAGTTGAAGTGACCGTACGGTCGGACGTTAAACGCCGAATCCGGAACGTCGCTAGGGTTACCAGTAACGCCCTTTACCTTATCAACCAACTTGACACCTCCAGACACAAATAAATAAAACTTCCTTGCTTTTCCATTAATCAATTAATTAATTTTTACTTTTAATATAATTTCCTGCCTTCTATTAGTAATAAACTATAAAATATATATATCTGTCTGTAATACATATATATGTATGTATGTATAGTTTATATTTTTATATACACACACAGAGAGATCTGAGTGTGTATGTAATGTTTCAGGCTTGTGTACGTACTTATTGTGTTTTATTATGTGTCGGTGGATTTGGGAATTTGAGTCCCAATCTTTTACCTTGTAGAAAACAACTCGGAATTTGAACTGCTATTGAAAAATTAGATCTAAATTTTGATATATTGAGCATATTTTGTGTCAATTATATTGTACGTAATTGTCCCCCTTTATTACTTCTCAAAATGCATGATATGATAGAAGTGATATTTTAATTTATATAACCCAATAGTTTGGGGCAATTGATATCAAATTATTACTGGGGGTTTGATTGAAGGGAATTTAAATTCCATTCTCACTTAATTCTTACATAATTTCAAAGGCCACAAAATTCCCTTGTTTGGTTGAAAGGAATTGCAATTTCATGGAATTGCAATTCCCCCATTTTCATGGAATTAAAATCTCATGTCCTCTCTGAGATTTTAGAAAGAAAAAAAGACAGTGATAAGTCAAAATTACTCCTTCCTTTTTTTAACATAAAATTAATGTCTGACAATAGCAATGGACATTTTGAACTTTATACTACTTAATTTCCTTTCAATTTCCATGTATATCAAACATTGGAATTGAAATTCCCAGTAATTCTATTCCTTTAAACCAAACACTGAAATTTAAATTCCCACTTTATTCCCAATAATTCATCTCCCATGAAATTGCAATTCTTTTTCTACGTAATTCCCCATCTCCAACCAAACGCCCTGTTATGTGTGACTTTCTTTAAGCAAGAGTCAAACTCTTAGGTATGATTTAGATTATTTTTTAAAATAATAAGCGCACTATACTCGAGATCTTGTAATTCAGAAAAATGAACTTTGTAAAATATCTCATGTTCAATTCTTGATTTCAGTATTTTAAAAGTTGATGATTGAATGGGACGGTTGAGAGGTTAGTGATTAACGAATATTTAGCATAAAGAAATGAAAAAGGTTAGTGGATTCTAAATGAAAAAAGAATGGCCCCATTTTGATTTTAAGGTGCCCAATATAATTTAGTTGTATTTTTTTTATCACGAGCTGATCACTATTCGAATATGTGTATGGAATAAACTTGAATCCTATTAATAATTCACATAAGAGATAAATTGTATTAGGAAAGTTTGCTTCCAGAGAGTGTTAACAATAATAGAACTCGTAACATTTTAGTACTAGAATTATGTTTCATTCACTCGGATATCATTTTCAGGATTAAAATATAGGGTTAAAAAGTCCAGCTGCAATTTGTTTTGCCTGTTGAAGGGTATAGGAGTATAGGACCACGCATATTAATGATATATGGGAGAGTCCTTTTCCTTGGATTTGAAGATAGGAAACGCATCATTTTGGTTAGCGGTTACGGACAAGCTTTACTGTGTCGGCTTTGTGGAAAGCCAAAAAGAGATTTTATTTTGTGCGGTGCCAAAAAGTTGCGCTGTGCACGTTCCGTTCGTAAAGCGAAGTCACTAATAAGTGCTTAATTGCGTAGATTTTGAATGTGTTTGTGAAGATAAATGCATACAAAAAACAGTTAAATTCTCTTCTCGTATGAAAAAATCAAACTGACAAGCACTTTGTTCCTTAATTAGATTGACACGGTACGAACAAAAATTAGTCTGAATATGGTATGAGCTTAAAAGTGACTTCTATAATTAAGATCTGCTCAAGACACCGACCAAAAACAAAAAACAACAGTTGAACAATGGGTAGCTTTTTTTACATTTCACATGAAAACCCAATTAGGAAATAATCACGTGCTAGAAACCTACACTCTCTGTATAGGAGTGCAAGGGCGTTTGCTTCAATGGAGGAGAGAGAAAGAGAAAGAACATGGCATGGCTAATAGTGTAATACAAGGCAAATGACAGCAAACCTGCAAGCAATCAAAACCCCAAGGGGATAAGTTTCTACCTTTCCTTTTTGATACATTAGGAGGTAAATTGCGAATAGTCTGTCAGTATCTAAATTTTTACCCCTAATTTTCACTGAGATTCCAATCCTTATAAAAATATAGAGTAATTAGCCGAACTGATTAAGCTAGTATTATGGAACAATTTCTATCTTCATTACTATAAGACTAATCTAGAATCGTGAGACTAATCTATCGTTTGAATTGCATGACTAATTTAAATGTTACTGATGCGGTAAATACGTCGGGGTATATGAATAAGTATGTGAATTCGGATTTAGCTCGTAGGATTATATAAGTGGTTGAGCTTGAGAAAGGTGACAATGGATCAGAAAGTCCCAAGCTAATTATGGTTAGGTTGAAATGTCCAAAAGTCCCCCTCCAACAATAAATGTGGTATTTATAGAGATCAAGAAGGGAAAACATGTCGAGGAGTCGACATGTCCGCCACGTGTTGTACATCTTCTTTCCAAACCAATGTGGGACAAAGTCCACTATTTCCCTTCATTTCCCAACTCAAATGGGTCTACTTTGAGTAGGGGTGGGAATAGGCCAAGCCCCTTGTAGGGGCCTATGTCCCGGCCTAATTAAAGCCTAGTTAGGCCTAGCTCGTTTAGTAAAAAGGCTAGGCTTGAGTCTATTTTAAAGCCTATTAAACTAAACAGGCCAGGCCTATATATACCAGGCTCGGCCTTTAGGCCTACAGGCCTGGCCTATATATATATATATATATATATATATATATATATATATATATATATATATATATGCCTAATATTTGTATATTTACAATATAACCCCAAGTATATATTATTTAGATATACTAAAGTTTTGTATACTTATGTAATTATGTATTAGTTTTGTATTAGACACATTTCTTATATTATTTAGATATACTAAAATTTTTAAAAAGTCTTAACATGTATGCTTTAATAGGCTAAGGTAGAACATACTTTGAAGCATTTTTAATGACTTAAATATTAAACAAGCTTTTTAAAAGGCTTTAGGCCAGGCTAATTGCAGGCTCAGGCTTGAGCCTAACAAAAAGCCTACATACAGGCTCAGGCTTTAGATTTTTGTAATAGGCCCAGGCCTAATTTTCCAAAACTCGACTCGGGTTATTTCCACCCCTAATGTCTTTGAGAATCAATATCTCATTCAGCCATTATCCATTTTGAGCGTACAATATATCAATCTCTTCGTCTCACTACAAAGAACCCGAATCCACTTTGACCCGACCCACTGATAATTGTACCACAAAATAGCCACTTAATATGTCATTTCATGCCATTTTAAGCTAATTTTTCCAACATAGGCTAAATATAAGAGGGAAAACTGTACTCTTGGGTACAGGCAAGGGAAATCTCGAGTTCACATGCTCTTTTTTGCCTGTAGACTGCAAGAAGATGAGCTGGACACAGGAGCATTCTAGTATTGCAGACTCATATTAGACTACCAATTTTAACCATTATACATATTGAGAGAAAGGAAAAAAAAAAAAAAAAAGTAAATTGGGCAATACAAATCATTCAGATATCAACTGAAATCTGCAAACTACAAATGGAGAGTAAATTTGCTTACAAGCCCTATTTGTACCATCTTCCAAGAAAGTAAAGAATGTACTCTTGGCGTTAGTCTACTATAGACTATAGTCATATGCTAGCAGGCTAAAAAGACATTAATCCAAAATCCACAAGAGAAACAGATTGGTCTACCAACTACCAAGAAGAAAAGTTTTCCCTACCAATTCCCCGCTACAAAGGGCACACTACTTAATCAAGCTCTAAAAATCATACAGAAGAAACACAGGTTTTGCTAGGGGCGAGTAGAATAAGAAAAACAAAAAAGCATACGGCATAGGAGAGCCGTCTGGTTCGTTGAGGAGACAACAATAGCTTTCAAAAAAGGCAGCATGTTTTAGGAACTTCACAGTGATCTGGAATCCAGACTGATGTATGAAATTCGTTTGCTTTAACCTATTCACAAGATAGAAGATATCATTTTGACTGGTACGAACAATTTCATCGAATATATATATATCAGAATGGGCATGTCTGCATACCATTGGGGCCGACCATAGTAGACAGGCCAGTCTTTTCATGCATCTACTTGTATGGAGCAAATAATATCGATGAATTGTGGCCACCAAATCCAAATGAATTCGATAATGCTACTTTGATGTCAACTCTTTCCTTTTTGGGGCCAACAAGGAACTTTAAATCCTGTTTTTTTTATGCATAGACACCATTAGAGTGTACTCAAAAATTAGTAGTGTAATAGAAATGATCAGTTCTCACTCAATCAAGAGAACCAAGACACGGGTTTATGTAACCAGAAATAAGCTGTCATTAGTTAGCTCAAATGTAAAAACATATAGTTACAAGGAGCAGAAGATTCGTACCACACCATCACTTGGGTTTTCAAGATTAATATTTGGATGTACCCATCCAGTCCGAATTGCCTGCAGAACGATTGTAATTTGTCAATATGCAAGTCCAGTGTGTGTGCTTTGCAATGAGTTCAGTGAGAACCAAGAAAAAACAAAGATTATTGAAATTATGTCCAGCCATAAATAAAAATTAGCACAGAATTCTATTCGAAAACATTTGTCTCGAGGCCATCTATGGACTCAAGCATTTGGACCTGGTAAGTGGTAACTAAGAGCTAAGACAGGACAGAACCATATGTCTGTCAGTTCATCTGATCCTTTATCGACCCAGCTAATCAGCTATAGATGCTTAACTCTAAACTAAGGATAAAATCCATTTAATTCTTGACAATAATTTCTTGCCAGTTATGATTCTCATTAGATTATTAGCTACCCGGTTCATGCTATAGAGGTAAATGTTTAGTTGTGTGAAACCAGAATCTCTCTTTTTACTCTTGGTGAATAATCAAATAGATTCTAAAACATGCCAAAAGCTTAACAAAATTTCTTGTCTCTGTCTGGGATCATCAAATGATATTCATGCTTAAAAGA